TATGATAAAACCTTTATGGACTGGATACGGCTTTTGCTGCCCTCGATCGTACGGCTTACGCGCCCTCGCAAGCTCGGGCGCTTCCGCCGCACGACCTCGGGTCGCAAAAGCCGTATCCAGTCCATAAAGAATAGTATATGAACACCTCATTACACGAAGAAAATAGAACACTTTCCCTGGTGTAATAGTATTTGAAAGCGAAAACGCCGTCCAACTTAAGTATGACAACCGTCCCCTACTGTTATATAGATTCACCCAGAGTGTGCGTGCGGTAGGTACATTACGCAGGTCGGGTCGGGTCACAATTTAGGTTGCAGATAATCCGATTTTTGCCATACAACATTATATTTTTACATGATGTTTATCCGAACATTTAATTATTTTGTATGTATGTTTTGGATTTTATGAATGAAGTGGCTATTCGCCCAGTTCATTTCCACTGTACGCTACTATGTGATCGTTAAATGTTCAAATATACCTATTCTTTTTGCTTTCAATCATCAATCAGGTCCTTCCAGAACGTACAAATGTGGTCTAGCTCCACGGTGCATCTGGCCGAGGCTCGATGTACATAGTGTACACCCAGACTGTCACTGACAGCATGGTATCGAATAAATGTAGTGCCCGAGGTACATGCACCGTCCATCAGAGCCAAAACGTCGATGTTGTAAATACGGGGTCGACCATTTCAAAATATAGGGGCGGACATAATGTGTGTAATTTTTGTTGTTGTAATTTCCCGCTTTTTTACACATAATTTTATTCATGCTGGTTATGTTTTGGTAAACACGTTTTCCCGAAATGTCCATGTCTTACTAGGTTTTCAAACGCCCAACCCCAACAAAAACACCCCCCCCCGAAAAAAAAACAAAAAAAACACGTTGGGCCATTCCATAGCTGATTTGGGGGGGGGGGGTACTCAGCATGACATGAGACGTTTTTTTTACTCTTGTCACATTATAATTTTTCCAAATTCCAAAACTGAACGTTGCTATTTTAATGTGATTGTTACCAAACCTCAATAAACTCATTGCTTTTTCAAAACATTTGTTAATACTTTGCATGCTGGTGATTATCTGATGGGAAGTATGTTTCAAGTTCAAGATTCACAAACGAGCTATTATTTTAAAATTCAGAGCCCCAAAGGGGTAATTGAGTCATGCTGCATTAAATATATTAATAAAAGCTTCCCACTCACTGGACTATTGAAAAGATGCAAAGAATTTAAAATTTACAAACAGCCAATACAATGTTGTCAGGTCAACAAAAACAATCAATGTGTAACGAATAAATGTAAATGTAAATCCATTTTAGTGATCAACTCGAGATTCAAAGTACCTGATGAGAACATTATTGTTTTTTATGACATCCATGACACATAACATCCAAGAATCATCGATGTATACTCTCAATTGCTAAAATAGCATATTGTGTAATATTTATTAAGATATTCTGATGAATACAACATTATACAAATGTACACCCCAACGAATAAATCTTAAAACAGAAATTGTGGCACTCAATCATGGCAAACTTCAGTTCACGCTTGTAGAGCTGAATGAGGGGGAGCAAGGGGGCAGCTGGTACAGTTTTACGGGCTTTCTACAATTTACAAGGAAAAAAGACGTTTTTAAAGTTTACAGTGAAAATTGAATGTTTACAGTTTACAAAGAAAACAAAGGTTATTTTACATTTTACGGAAAAAAGAAAAAAGATTAAAAAAGAAAACCTAGAAAATTCTTGTACATACTAAAAAAATGACACGTTTTTAAAGTGTACGAAAAAATATTTGATTGATTACGTTGTACGCCTAGCCTGTGATTACAGAATTACGGAATTTATTTTTTCAATTTACGTTGTACGAACAAAAAAATATTGCAATTACGTTGAACGAAAATACCCCCCCCCCACCCGAATGCATGTATGAACACAAATGTACAAGTTGAAAGAGTTCAAGAGCAGTGATTGAATTCTATCAAGTTTTATTATGGACGCCTTTTTACTTTCATGGTTGTTTTGATAAACTTAATTTCAACGGTTCGGCTGCTATGTGACGTCACAACTGGTCTAAGGTCAGTTTTTACTGCCTTTGTTCGCAGTAGGGCCAGGTAAGTTTGGAAGACTGGAAAATCTACGAATAATAGGCTAGTTAATCGATCTGAAGGACTGTGAGTGGGCCTTATGTGCGGATCAGTTTGCGCATGCGAGTTTCCACGGTAATATACTGAAGTCATGGAGACATCCAATCAGTGCTGAAACCGACAGAAGTTTCTGTGATTTATTGGGATCGTTTCGACAGAGTTAAATGATAATCCCGGGGCATTCAAGCGATTCTGGACCTTTCACGGAAAGCGCCGATACGGCTCCTTCACGCCAGTGTGTTCACGGGTCCACTTTTTTGTGTTTGGCATCGTTTCCAACAGTTATTTATCAAATTTGCAAAACTGTTGACTTGGGGAAATGGTTTTTATAAAATATACAAGTAAATAAAGATCAAAATTATGAGTTACATGTAATTTATTTTCGCTGAAAAGACATTTTGGTTGTTTTGTATGGAGTTAAATGAAAAATATTGAGGAAAAGGTTATTGGGTTTTATTTTCACTGAAATACCCTTTCAGCAAAAAATAGCGAAAATAAATTTCAAATGAAAATAAAGTACTTTACGTGTTTGAAAAAGACAACCGTCGCTTCCGTGTTCTAATCAGAAATGGAATCAGTGAGGATCGATCGAATTCTCAAAAGCTGTTTCTTTCTGTTCAAATTGGTAATTTTTTTTGAGAGAGTTACGACATTCTTAATATTTCCGACTGTCGTCTACAGTATATATAATACATTGCATAATACAAATGTAGAGTAATATTTGTCGTTACTTTTACAATTATTTGTCGAACTTTTTCTATGAAGGCCAAATGCCAGCCTGAGTGTTACCAGTGTTCGTATGTGAACATTTTGTAGTTTTTATGGACGTTTTACGTTTCCAAATGTTTTGCGAAACTAAGGTACATTTGTATTAAACCTGTGTGAATACACAGGTTTAATTAAAACGGTGAGAGAAATAACCTATTTTGTCAACAACAAAAAGTAACAATCTACTACTGGTATGAAAAGCTTAATTGAGTATTTCTACTAACCTGGGTGGTATGAGTGTACTGCTAACTAAGTTAGGTAGGTGTCATATATACGCATGCGCTATTTATCTATGACTTGACTCTCGCGGCAGTGGTTGAATTGTTGTCTGACTGTTCACGACTAGGTTCATTCAATTCATACAGTCGTGTCGATGATCGTCAGGTAACGACACCTTAACTACGAGAGTACTATGCTGTCCGTAATGCGAACTACTTTTGATAAACTTTTTTCTCCTAAATATTTGTTATTTTCCAACACTTTAACGTTTGGCGGTCTGCTTGCATTCGGTGATTACATTCAACAGTGCCGTGAAAGGAATTACATAAGACAACAACACCGGTCTCAACGAGCGTCTTTGATTGCATCCGGACAAATTCATGGTCAGACCGCTGAAGGTAGTCGTAATACAGTGACACTTCGCCACGACTGGGGACGAACAGGTTAGTGTTTTAACATGTATCACAAAAATGTATATGGAGCTGAATAACAATATCAAGTGCAGTCTACCGGCAATTAGTGTCTCGGTTTACGGTGTATACCTACATGTATAATTCTAATAATACACCACAAGTCACTATTGCTGGCCGTACTTACGCACGTCATAGATGTGGCGTTTTTCTCACTGTACGTATCTATAGATGTGAATGGACAATCCTTGATTGATAATATTATGCATTCTCAAAGACTGAGCCATGTCAAATTATTGTTTTTTTGTTTTATTTTCCCAATGAATTGTTCCTTCCCCTTACTAGTAGTTAAACATTCCATTTCCTTACTTTACAGTGTTCATGAAATAATGCTTGTGCACTCTACCATCTTGCTTTGATATGTCATTTTGTACTAATTGTTGTGTTACATGTAGCAATGTTGACAAACAAAACTCTATTTTTGGGTGTTTTGTTTTTACTGATTTTTGACAAGTTGAATGTAAAATAGGGGAAAAAAGATATATTTGCTGGATTTTATTTTCACTAAATCATTCCTTCAGCGAAAAT